TTATTATAACTTTTTTACTATAGACTTTATTTGAAAGTAGTGGCTTGTTTTTGAGATATGCGTTATCTCTATTGTATTAGTTCGTTTGTTAAAAAATATTTGTAACATTAGATATCATAATAAATAAAAACATAACTATGAAATTAAGAATATAAATTATTCTTAAATTTATATAATATTATAAACTGCTAGGACTCATAACAAAATCACCTTAATACGTGACTAACAAAACCCTTCATACTGATCACCACCTTCCAACAGTTGACCAACAAATAACGACCCATTACCAACGATTTCATACAAATCTAAACTGATATAAAAACATATTAATAAGATAAATGGCTACAGCTGACATACCTCTGAATATGAGAAGGAGATTAAAAAAGGCGGTGGATGAGAGATCTCCCTTTTTAAACAACCTAAGTATTTGGAACAACTCAGGAAAGATGTGTTGCAGAGTAATGTCCTTTATCATACCTTACTTGCTATTATTTCTTGAATTTCAGTACATTGCTGGTTGTCGACAATGTTGACAAGTGAAAATATATATTTAAAGCCAGAAATTATAAAAAAACTGAAAGATCAGTATAAGATTCCTACTTAAAGTCTTATGCCTTTCTAAGAACAGGAACTAACTAAACGGTAAATTTTCGTTGATTCAGAAAGCAGAATTAAAAAAAATAGATTCGCATAAATGCAGAACATAGTGTTGCTCAAATGCGAGACCAAGACTTGGTCGTGGTCTTGGTCTTTCGCAAGAGTCTCGCAATAGTCTTGCAGTTATATATTAGCTTATTACTGTAATTTTTCAGATAGGAGAAACCTAACTAAGCTTGAATGAAAAATTAGAAGAGTTAAATGCAAAAATATACTGGTGATACCAATTCTTTACATTGTCAAGTATTAGTAACCATTTTTATTAAAAATATCGATTTTTTCTTACGAGTCTTGTTCTTGGTCTTGCAACAGTTTGGCGGTACTGGTCTTGGATGTTGGACCGATTTTGGGCAATACTAATATGGCACATCTTATCTCAACAGTTTCAGCTATAATAATCCAATACTGTTGAAAACCGAATCATTTTAAAATACAATCATGGTTATGTTGTCTTATGCTGAACGTCTTCAAGTGTCCCACAAGTCCTTTTTTTTTTTTTTTTTTTTTTGGAATGAAGGTATTTTCCGGCAAAACTTTGATAATATTACATTGTATAGACGGGGGAGAGAGCTTTGGGACTGAAGCCCCCTTCCCAAAATGGTAAAATATAACCATGTCTTATGAAAAAAAAAATTAATAATTACCTCCAAAAGTCTTATTGTTCGTGTAATTGCATTTAATAGTACATAAGAATCACTTAAACTCTATTTCATATAGGTAATTAGTTCCCTTCTTTTTCTGTCTACGTAATTATCGTTATATATTTTTAAAAAAAATCTTTCTGGCTGAAGCCCTCCTCCTCCTAAAACTATATCCTGAATCTGCTAGTGATTTTATATACGAATAAACATGTTCCCTGATGTCGCTTATGTATTGGGTGAGGAAGGAGGAGGGGGAGAGTAACTGAGTAATTCGAGAGTTGTAACTGGGTTATGAACCCGATAACAGTTATAATTATTTCAAAAGTCACTACAAAGTTATACGGAAGGGACAGCGTACGTCTTCCAGGGCCGTCCAATTGATTGCCGAAGAAGGATTTCTTGGAAGTTTGGGAATAATGTGGTTGAACTCGTTAGCGGCAGAACCTCAAAGGACCCTCTGGGATAGATTTAAGGATTCATGTCCTGGCTGGAATATATTTCAATATCCTGCCGATAAGGACTGCCCCACGGCTATCGCGGGGCTATAACTCAGTCGTCTTCTGCGCCTTTACAACTTGTCAAAAGATTTATGCAGCTTTAGTTTTGGAAGTGTAATGAAACTGAAGTCTGACCTTTGTATTAACAACTACCTCAGATCGAAAATCTCAATATATCCAACTTTTTTAAAATACTTAAATATTTTACAGAATATGTGTTTTGTGTATGGAATGAAATTCATTCGGTTATTAATATATCAGGCTAAAATCCATATTTCAAAAAGTAATTGTCGCCAAAAAAGGGTACACTTATAAGATTTGGTAATTATTGAATAACAAAAGAAAATATTTTCAGTTCTCGTCATTTCTATCTCCGTGATGAAGTAAATATTTTTTTTTTATAATTCAGTCATATATTCCAATTTTCGGGGCTTTGCTCATTCTTGACGGATTTTCTTTTTATTATTCCTAAATTTGCCAATTTTTTTATATGTACCGCCGAAGCGAGTATGGCTGTGTTTTTATGTTTTTAATTTACTTATCTTTAGATTATTTCATTTTTTATTTACATAATTTTTTTATTATTATTTACTTGTTATTTTACATTTGTTAATTTTATATTTTCCGTATATATGGTGTGAATATGTTCATAAATCACTATAACTATTGTCCACGAGACAGATTATTATATGTATAAATAAATGAACAAAAAAAAAAAAATTGCCATATTAGTATAAATTCATAATTTATAATAAAAACAAATATTTGATCACAATAGTCCTATTTTGTGTGCTTTTACTTAAACGTTTCAGCCCTTAGGCCATTTTCAAAGAAATAAACCTATTTTAAATAATTATAGATCATTAAGGACCGAATTTCCCTAGACGAAATCATTTAATTAGTCATTTATTGCATGACTTGTAAACAACATTTAATTAGTCTTTGAATAATTAAAGGATCTTGACAAGGACAATTCAGACCATAATTATTATTATAAAATAATTATTATAATTAAAATAGGTTTCTTTCCTTGAAAACGGCCTAAGGGCTGAAACATTGAAAAAAAAACACAAATTAAGTGGAATTATTGAGATAAAATACATATTTTAATTATTATTATTATTAAAGTGAACTACTAATCTACATGTTTATATACAAATATTCATAATTTATCATATTGTCACATCTATGAAATATTTGTTACAATTGTTCTATTTACAATAGAAAAATCCTTAAGGTCCTTGAATTTTTACAGTAACTCTGAGTGGAAGTTTATGTAACAATACAATTTAAGGATGTTCATAAATAATTTTTTTAAAATAAATATTGAATAGATGTGACGGTACAATAAATTATGTAATTTTACTTATATGACAAATTTAGGACCAATAAATGAAAATTCCTGAGTATGGTGCGGAGAGCCGAAACGTTTAATACGTCACTGGGTCATAAAAAAACAAAATATCTACACTGGGAGAAAGAAATACAAAGAAACTAAGATTGCCCTTCCTATGTTTTATAATTTATCAGAAATACAATATTTCTCTGTTTCACAAAGCGAAAACGGTTTGATGTATTTTTTCAGAAAATCTCAATCACGAAACCTGTAACATTTGAAAGGAGTTGAATCTTATTTCGTGTACTTAAATATCAATTTATAAAAATAAAAAAATGACTAGAAGAATTCTTCCTTTTTTTAAAGCATCCAAGTAATTTGTAATTTTAATTTTATTTTTATTTTTATAAGTCCCGGTATCTTTTAAGTTTTGTGGGGCAGAGTGATTGACGTGAGACAAGTTAAGATTTTGACTGCCTTTCACAAGAACTTCTCTCTCCTTTATATTGTATTAATATTAAAGTAACAATAGGAAAAAAACTGGAAATGGTTTCTGTACTACCCAGTTTTTTTTTATAACGAGACCCATTATAAACAAGTACGTTTAAACTTTAAATACAACACTGGAAAGAATCAGTTCGAAATTTCTTAATAAATGTTGAAACACAGTTGGTCCAAGACCAGACCGTATGTAGTCAATCCTCAGAGAGAAATAATTATTTATAAAGAAATAAACCATAATTTTGGATTTATAGCATAAAAATAATAACTTTTATAACTGATTTAAGTTATATATGTATATATATATATATATATATATATATATATATATATATATATATATATATATATTATGTTAAGTACAGGAAGCACGTTGAGCATGACGATGGGCTCTTTATCTTTGTAAAATAAAACTGAGGGAGGATTTAATGAAATGGAGGTATATTTTATGATTCTGGGACTGTTGTCCCTTTAGAAAAAATTATAAGTACAGAATGCATGCCTGTGTGGTCTTAATAAATTAAATATATACAATAATAGTTTAATTAAAAGCAAAATACAGAAGAAAGAGAGAGAGAAAGAAAATAAAAGTGTACAAATATATAAGACAAACAAGGAAACTAGTTTGCTTAGTTATATTTCGTAGTCAGTCGGATTGAGAAAGGAGTAGGTGTTTAAAGAGGAGAAGTTTGAAAGAGGAAACTGATTGAGCGTGTCGAATATCAGCAGGGATGGAATTCCAGAGGGAGGCGGCTTGAATTACAAAGGATTTGCCAAACGCAGCAGTTCAGTGAGGAGGAGGATAGAGGTCGGAAGTACAAGATCTAATGGGTCAAGATTGGATGAAATATTTAAATTGTAAGCTGTGAAAGATATAGGAGGTTCGATGAGTTCTAATGACCTGGAACTGAAAGTTAGCTAGGAAGTACTGACGGTGATAAGGTGGATAGAGCCACTTCAACTCTGTGAAATACTGAGTAATATGCGTATCTTTTGAGATTCCGAAAACAAAACGTATAAAATTTCCCGAGAGTCCACCGTACAGCCATAGTCAAAGTGGGAGAAAACACAAGATGAAACTAGAAGTTGACGGGACTTATATAGAAGGAGATATCGTTGACGATTGAACTGTTTTATGGTGGAGATAGTGCGACCTGAAATTAGGGAGATGATGTTTCCAGGAGAGGGTTTGATAAAATGCAACACCTAAGTTTTTAACGGAAGTATGAAATAATTTAGTACATTCTTTAACAATTTATTCAGTACTAAGAGGGTTTAGAGTAAGGTGGTTTGGGAAATAACAGTTGAAGTAGAGTGGACATTGGAAAAAGTTAGACTCCTCTGATAAATTACCTTATACAAGATAGGATGTTTAGGTTTGAGTTAGTTAAAGAATTTAATGGTTAGTTATTTATTTAAAATGTTTTAATATCCACATATAACATTTATTTATATTTATATTCAATCGGTGTGATCTTGTTAACAGTGCTACACGGTTGACGTGTAGTGTGAAAGCTTCCTATCAGGAACTTGCTAAATATCTCGAAGTTGCTCCGAGATTAAACGCGTACCGTTGGTTCTATATTCCAGGGGCCATATTGGATCTTGATAGGCCACTCCGCACCTGCACGACTTGGAGGCCTCCCCCAGAGCAGAAATTAATTCCAGGCTTCCATCATCAGATTCCGGGAGCACGGGAAGGCCAAGGGTCGCGAGGAACTGTAATACCCAAGGCGAACCTTGCAGCAACTGACTGTTAACGGTCCATCTGGGAGATGTCAGTATCTCGTTTATGTTTTTTTTTTTTTCTTTTTAAATCTATTTACAATATGATTGACCATCATTATATTTATTGAAAAGAATTTAGAAATAATCTCTCGACAATAAGACAAAAACTAAGAAAAAAACAATGTATACCATACAATAATACGGTAGTTTAAATCCGGCTCTCTGAAAGTATGAAATTTGATGAATGAGGAATCAACCGAAAACAAAATTCATGGTTAAGTGGCGGAGTTCAAAATTCAAAATAGTTCATCCAAAAAAAAATTTTATTCTTCTCTTGAACTTGTATATCCTGAACTTGTATATGTATTTATGGAATTGTTACATGTTTTTCACACCTTGTCGATTTCAACTTGAATTCTATGCTCTTAAATTTACTTATTTATTTTCTTACTATTTTTGTTATAGATGTTTTATTTTTTTATGAGATGTTGAACTGTCTTTGCGGCGACAATATTGCTCATTTATTTATAACCTGAGGGCACGTGTACAATGTACGGACGCGAGCAAAGTTACCCTATTTTTTTTAAAGCTATTTAGTGTAAATAAATGTAAACAAACGATTCATGGCTGAGTTGTATTGGGCTGTCAGAAGCCGAATGGTCTAATAGCCAACGGCAGAGGCGTTTAATAAAAAAAAAAAAAATTCTGAGATAGAATACATAAATATTTATTTTTTTATATATTACTTTATTTATTTTTACTTGATGCTGATCTATTAGAGGAATTCATTTGTTATTTATTGCTTTCCTTCCTATCTTTTATCTTATTTATTTTTATTTTTTATTTAAGCAACAATAATTTTTTCATCTTTTATTTGTATTGTATATAGTCCTAAAATTTTCATTAGTTTGTTTTTGTATATTTTGGTTGTTGAAAAGCCTGTTTGGTGATGTGGTTACCAAGTGATTTTTTTTTTTTTAATTTTCATGTTTTAAAAATTGAAATATAATTATGAATGAATAAAAAATCTTTGACTAACTATAAATTTGTTAGTGTTGTTCGTAATATTATGAAAATCAAAAAAATTAAAGCGATTTTCCATTTCATTGAAATATAATACGTTTGGCCTAACATATTAGAACTATTTTATTTACAACTGAAAAGACAAAAAACCTTGGAGCAACCTCGAACAACCCACGGACATTTTTTTTTTTAGGTAGGTTTAAGCATATTGAAGAAATGTTTATTTCATGGTCGTTCTATCGCTTAGTGTTGACGTGTAGTACATAAAAAAAAAGTTTTTTTTTTTTCAAAATATCGGTTGATTTAAATGAAGAAGTAAAAATTAATTTCTACTGAAAGTGAAAGTTGTATGATGTCTCGCACATTAGGTTTTTTTTTTGGTAGGAGGGGATTCAGCCCGAATGACTTCCGTCAAATTTGCTAATTGAATAAATTCATTTTAAATTTTGAAATAATATACTAGTAGTACTTTTTTTATCGAAAAAAGAGATCGTATAGAGATCATAAAAAAAAAAAAAAGCTTGCAATAATGAATACAATTTTATTAAGTATGACACGCAAGTTTGGTGAAACTCAACTATGCAGGTCTTCATTAGATCTTGAAAGAACAAGACACAAAGTTACAGAATACTGTAAGAGTATGTAAATAAGAATATAATTTATAGAAAAAATAAAAAAAATATTAACTACATTAAAATATAAAACCAAGTAACTATAAGTAAGTACTGAATACAATAAAGTGGATGGATGAAATTATCCAATTGTCAACTACTGAATGTTCAATAGTTATATAATTTTTTATATTTTCAATCAGCATTATAAATCATTTTTTTTTTTTTAAATTTTGTAAATTATTATGCGTTATCATACATTAACACAAAGAATGATGTTCTAAGATCACAAAAGTAAAATGAATTGATAATTTATATCAAAATTTAAAATAAGTTGGTACCATATGGGACTTCCTATATTAGTATTCGTTATTTGGGGAAATATATGGCGCCGTGAACTGTTAAAGATGACCACATTTGTTTTTACGGAAGAGCTCGTTCGAAATGTCAAGGAATTCAGGAATATTTTAAAAAGAGCGTTATGTCGAAAATAATCTCAAAACATCGACCACTTGAATAACAATATATCATCGCGTCTGTACACATTTATCGAAACGAAATGCATTAACTGTCCCTATGGACATCTATCTTGTCATTTCGGTTAAAAAATAAAATACAATATAGACGATGCAGTTTGTTTTCTGAAAACCTTTGAAATATCGGTGAGGAAATATGAGAATATATTTAGAGGAACGATATAACTGTTGCATATCAAGATAAAATCGGATGTAATGATTTCGAAAATTTAAATGTCAGAATTATAAATTAGTAATACTTTTCTGCATTCGTTAAGTATATCATTCATATCATATGATTATTTAACAAATACTCATACGTTTGCCATATAAAACAAGCTTTTTTTTTGGTCTTCAATTCTTCATCCGCACCTGTCATGGTAGTGACAATTAGCAGATTTGTTGTTTGGTAGAAAATGGCATGATAGGCATGACGAAGAATGGAACCCAGCAGCACCTCTTCTCTGATCTGTTTTCATTCTAAAATTAGGAAAGTGGATCTCTCATCCAGCTCCTTTTCAGTCGCCTCCTGATGAACATTTCTGCCGTGGCCATCTCGTTGATAAGTCTATTATGATGTCCGTGTTGTTTAAGATGAAATCGGAAGTAGAGATTACGTATGTGCTGGTCAATGGTGTAAAACAAGTGAATGACAAACATGAATAAGAAATCATATCGTAAAAATTATTTTAGAGAATAAAGTAATAATTACATTGAATTAAATAATTATAACAATCAAAGTTATAAACATATATATAGATTTATTTTCTCATAACTTTTTATATTAAAATATGATCTTCATAAAAAAAAAAGGAGCTAAATTTAGACTTTAAATTTCATTCCACCCCATATTGAGAAAGTTTTGCATGCAACGTCAGTTACAAGACTTTGTACGAGCATGTAGCGTGAACATCACTTCAAATGAACACATCTTTTGATGAAGTTTTATTATCCTCTTTGCTCTTATTTAAAAAAAATATACGAACAATAATTATAAAGAATAAAATATAAATTATTATATGCGAAAACTCAAAAAAATTTGTTAAATTAATACCGAGAATAATAAATTGATATATATTCAGAAAGCAGTGCTTAAAAAAAAATATTTTGTTCTTTCTGTACCATCAAATCACCATAGTTTATTATTTACCATTATCGGTCGTATAGTATTGTATATCTGGTTGTATTTTAAAATTTTCAGCCCTGAAGATGACCCGCATGTTTGGGTTGAAACGTTAACACAAAAAAATAAATAAAAAAATGAATTTTTTTTTTAATGGTTGCGTCCTGAATATTTATAACCCATACAAATAATAAATGTTAACATAAAATGTTTTATTTTCGAGCTACCTAGGACTCTATCTGGACAAACGTCTAACTTGGAATCCTCATACCAGACTGAAACGACAAGAAACAGCTCGACGTTTCCGATTACTTCAACACTTACTAGACAAACGCTCTAACCTTCCAATTAATTATAAAAGACTCATTTACATGGTCCAATCCAGATATCTGTCCTTCCATAATAAACTTCATAACCATCCCAACCCTCTTGTTTCTAACCTTGCTTCCTGTTCAATTCCTGATAACCCTCGGAGGCGTCTGAAAAGAAGATGGGCACGTGATCTTCTAATATAGACATATTATTAGAGTGCTACCAATGGGTAGTTTCTCAACATGTGTTTCATGTCATTATATCCATGTGCGAATTTACCAGATGTATTTTTTTGTATACAGTTGTAAATATCATATAAATAAATTAAAAAAAATTTTTTTTGAGCTATGATCATTATTTAATGTGTGGCGACGTTTAGACCTAAGTTGCAGGCCTTCATGATGGCTCTGAGTACAAGGAAGACACAAGGTGTACAAAACAATCAAGAACTTATGAGGATACTGAAGACCACAGCTGTTGTGTGGCCATAAGAAACTTAACCTAGCATAATATAGGACAAACATTGAAGCAGTTTGCTTCATTGGCGTTGTGTATATTTCCTGACCGGATCCCAACTATCTCTTTGATTCCAACTACAAATATTTCATCCTCCATTTCAAAGATGTTTGTTGCAAAACTCTTAGTGGTTCCTACCGAATAAGGAATTGGGATAGCGCTAACGATGCAGGGACTCCTTAGTGACTTAATTCGGACCCGTCATGAACTAGTGACTGGGAAGTGAGCCCAATGGACTGTCCCGTGATCGGTGAAGCGTTGTGTCGACCACTCGGGCGGAACGCCATGTCTCGCCCAGCGGGTAATGCACAGTCATCCTGGGAACTAGGCGCAGTCTCTGGCTCTTTGACGGAATTGTCTTCCTCTTGTATATAATATGTATATATATATCTATCTATGTATATACACACACACACACACACACACATATATATATATATATATATATATATATATATATATATATATATATATATATATATATATATATATATATATAATATATATATATATATATATATATATAGTATATATTTCCTAGGTACGTTCCTCTATTAAATCATCTTCCTTCTTACGCCTACAACCTTGTCCAATTCAAGTCCTCAGTCCACTCCCTTTCCACAAGATCTCGACCTTCCGACATTTACATTTCTTCTCACAGATCTGCCTCGTTCCAAAATTCCTTTATTGCTAGCTCTGTTAATTTTTGGAATTCCCTTCCTATCAAAATTCTTCATCCCTATCTACATTCAAAACCCTCCTATTCGAATTCCTGTCACCATAGCAGTCAGATACCCGCTAACCTTTTATGTAAAATTACACATTATTCATAATGATGTATTAACATATATCTCATCATTTAAATACTTCGACTTTTTTTTTTCCAACAGAAACACAGAGTTTACTGCTAAAAAGAATGTAATGTATTTTTA